TTTTCAAATTCCTCATGCCCTGACTGCTAGTCAGAGATGTCTTCCATGTTTGGTGCCATTTCCTTGAGCTCTCCAGGGCCCTGTCCTCTTTATTCCGTATGTTAGAAAACCAGGTGTTCAGTAGAAAAGTGCAATTCACCTCATAAAAATAATAATTAAAAGAAGCTTAAAAGTACACAACAGTAACAGCTTTTAGGTTTTGATTGAAATAATAGTGTGTGTGTATGCTGCATTATTGCATATTTCTGGGAATGTCTCATCCTCTTCCAGTCAGGAAATGACTTGTCTTGCTTTTTCAACAGTAAAATAAATTGGGAGTGGAGGCCACTGTTTTTTAAGGTGAGAGCTCTATTTGAAGTCTTCCCAGCAGAGGTTTTTCATGCTTCCTGAAAGAGTGATAATGTAATCTTTTAGACTTTGAGGAGTGAGCCACTTTCAACATCAGAAATGTTTGGACAAAGCTGTGTATCTGGGACTGTATGTAGGTGCCTACATACAGTCCTGCTCCTAGACTTAAAACAGAGTAGGAAGTTCATGCATATTTGTTTGTGGTCTCGAGATGTTTCCTGAATTGTTATGTTTTGTTTTCTCAGATGCCTAAAATCCCCCTGTTTTTTATAAGGAACTCAAATTTCTAAGTGTCTAAAGCTTTTAATTACTAAATATTAGAAATCCAAGGCTTTTATATCTAGCCCTACAACAATGTAAGAGGCTCAGAGGATGAAATCTGTTTCACTTGTCATAACTTCTAGTTTAAAACATGATTCAACCAAAAAAAACCCATACACGTGATTTAGTAGTCATTCAGGAACAATTATAAACCAGAACTAGAAGTTCAGTTTTGCTTTTAATTTATAAGCATGTCTAATCATTAAGAGCTCTTTAAATTAAGATCTAATAAATATGAAAAAGACAGATTGGAAGCTGGAGTAAAAACATGGTGTTCTGAGAGGTTGAAGTGTACATGTTAGGGGACTAACACTGTATAGAAGTAAGGAAGTGTAATTATTTTATAAAACATGGAAGCTTAAAGCCTTTAGAAAAAATAGTGTTACACAAAGTTCACAAGCAGTCTAATTTCTGGGAGGATAGATGATAACTCTATATAAATACCATGCTATGAATATAAATTACTACTCATAGTGATGGTGATGAAGCACTGGCACAGGTTTCGCAGAGAAGTCGTGGAGTCTTTATGCTTAGAGCATGCAGAAAACATCTGGACATGAGCCTACACAAGGCAGCCAGCTCTAGGTGGACCTTCTCAACAAGAAGGTTGGACCAGGTGTCTTCCAGAGTTCTCTTCCAATCTCAACCATTCTGTAATTCCATGAAATAAAGGTTTAAAAGAGTAATCTTCTAAATCTATTTGAGAAGGTATGCTTCTTATCAACCAAATTACATAACATTCAGGAACTTCCAAATACAAACTGCACAAGTTGTACGACATTCCAGAACTAAAGAAACTCATTTAACACCTGCCCAAATAAGATGCTCATTCTCCTGTAGACTGTTTTCACCTGTAATTACTAGACAGTGTTATTTTTAAAGTATTGTCATAACTGAGGCTGACATATTTCAAACATGTAGTGTTTTGAGGAGTTGTGTTCTTGAAGAAGAATAACAGGTTGACAAAAAAATAATTCATAAGTTGTTACTGGCAGTTTTTGTCTCTGTCCTTACAGATGCCTAAGGAGTGATGGCTAATTCAGAAGACAGTATGTTATTCACATTGCAAGTCAATTCTTATGGAATAAAACTTCTTATTAAATATATTTTTTGTCCTCTTAAAATTACATCTTCAGTACAGTAATTTCTAGACCAAAGTGATTTTTTTTTTGAAGTTCATGTAATCTACAAGAGTTGCTTTATACAAAGCTGTAATGTTCAGATTCCTGTTTTTATCCTGCTCTTTCCGCTACTATTTAGTGTTTTCTGGCACTGCACCTTATCAAATAGGTGCCAGAAACCTCCTCCAGCCTTGTTCTCAAAATAGTTTATACTGAGTGACACTAATTATCGCATTCGTTAATATTGTAAGTGGCATATTCAGTGTTACACTCTGATACGAATTTTACTTGGGATGATTACTTGAGATACTTGGAACATTTTGTCTTAGTATTAAAAGATTTCAAATCATCAAGTTTATGAACTTCATAAATATATTATTGATTAACATAAATATAATTTTCACCCAATTTTCCATATTAAATATACAACCAATTTCACAAGTCCAAAGCAGACTTGTTCTTTGCATATTCCGTTTATAGTTAAGTCCTCAAGGAGGACCTAAGTCAGGCTTCTCTGTACAAAGCTCTAAAATTACATTACTCCCTCAAGCTTACTGGTGGTTTTTTACTGGTGTCGTGGCTTCAAGCAAGCACCAAGGGGAACCTTCTGTCTCTATTCTGTAATATGGTATGCAGGATTAATTGATCTTGAAGGAATTGCATGAATGAAAATGAGTTAAGTCTGTGTTTAGTACATGGATTTTAAATATATTAAATATATTTAACGTGTTTAGATGAAAGCTTTTGACATACATTTTGAGTCAACCTAAAAATCTAGTGAATTCTGCAGTACAGCTACTGAAGCTATAATGTTAATGCAGGATGGCCTCATCTTATATTTTCTTTTATACTTTATTCCTAAAAATGTGCAAGTAAAGTAGTTGATACCTAATTAATTTATATGAACCTTTATCAGTCAGCTATTAAAATGTTTTTGAATGTTTTAGATGCATCTCTGTTACCAATTTAAATTACTAATTATCACTTCTTATTCCCTATCTCTAGAGCAAACTAAAAAAAAGATCTAATTACTGCCACAAGAGTTGTTGTTTTATTCAAAATGTTGTCTCTTGACTCTTCAAGGTGACAGGTTTAAGTAAGTGAACAGAAAACAGACACCCCAAAACTTTTTAATTAAATACTTTTCGTAACTTAACGGGGGAGAGGGTGTATATATCAAAGTGCCTACTTCAAAAAGTTAGTGTACAAAAATGCATTCTAAAAATAACTCCTAAAACAGCTTGAAAAAGAACTATTCAAGAAAGGGAAGGGGTTTTGTAGCACAATTAGGTATGCAAAATAAAATGGTTGTGGCATTTATCAAGTAGCGAATACTTTGACTGCTTATTAAGCATCCTTGTGATCTCCCTTAGAAAATTGACTGTGATGGAATTTGTTTTTTGGGTTGAAGGAAGAGTGCTTATGACAGAACTCAAGTATCCTTCTCTGATGATAGAACATTATTATTCAATTAAATGGTCAAAGAGGGTGACTAATTGAAAAATACTGACTGTTCCATTTTTTTCAAGACTACTGAGCACCTAAGCTTATGAAAATACTCACATGAATATGCATGCTGGTTAAAATACCCCTTGGCAAATAGATCTCTGTCCATAAAGGTGTTCAGTTCCGTAATTCTGAAGCAACACTCTTGTGTTTGTTCTGTGCTATCTGTGACTGTCTAGATAACAGTCATGCTAATAATTTTGTACCTTCCTATTTAAAAGATCTTCCATCTTGTATCTACATTTCATTCTCTTCTATAAATTATTTACAGAAATCTTAAATTTATTAATGTCACTGGATAGCTTTGATTGGGATGCAAAACTTAACAGGTGAAGCACACATCAGCATTTTGTACTTGTTTAATTTATTTCCTGATTACTCATTAATGCAGAGTTCAGGAAGATAGTTTCTCTCTGTCCTAAGGAAATCACTTAACAGATCTCATTTATATGTATTTTTTAATAATGTTTCTTGGCATAGCTACACTCTTACCATCTTTTTGTAATGTAGCTGTGGTATGGCCCAAGTCATTTTTAAATTATGCGTTTCAATCTGAAAACCTGTTTGCAGCACACTTCCATAAGATTTTTTTGCTCTATATGGTCAATATTTTCTACTTAAGAAGTGACTCAAGAATGTTCCTAGAAACTGTCTTCCTGAGAGCTATGAATTGTACTAGTTTGATTTCTGTTGACAATGTTTTTGTTCTCTAGTTTATAAAATACTTAATCTTCAGTTTATCTAAATGGTTTAGTAGGTTTTTTGAAGTTTCTGGTGTTTCAGTTGTTCATTTTACCACCTATTGTATCTCACATATGGTTCAGTACTACTGAAAGGGATACAGTGGTTACTTCTTCATAGAGATCTTAGCAATATTGTAAACAGTATGGCTACATGCAAGGTTTTGATAGGAAGGGAAGTTACCTTGTGCATTTGAGGCATGAGATGTCTTTGTCACATTAATGCTGCAGGAACATTGTAAATGTAGTCAGTTGATCCAAAGTGTGGAAGGGTAGTAATCAAGTGATGTAGCTCTTGCATTTTAATACTGAAAAAGTGTAAGACAGATGTTGGCACATTTGAAATACAATTTCAGGTTTGGAATTGTAGTGATGTTTCTTTAGTGTATTTGTAAACTGTTGATAAATTTTCACCTCACTCAAGCAGAATTTTGAAATAGCTTTGGAATCTTCTTTGGTATTTAGTGGCTTCAGAAGGTCATTCTTAGTATTGAGTCTTGTTTTTCCTTTGGTAAATTTAACATGCAACTGAAATAACATATTTCATGCCACAGCAACCAAATGGGATGCTGAAAGCAATTCAGTGTGTGTATTAATATTTTACTTTGCTAACAAATTCCAAAGAAGGTGCAAAGAATTAGTAACTGACCAGTTTCAACATTGTTTCAGTCTTTGTAAATACAGTGTGGTTTTTTTAAAAAAAAAAAAAAAAAAGCAGAAAAACTCATCTGGTTTGTTGGTACTCTGAATTTGAAATTAACTTGATGTTTTTAAACCCATAATTTCAAATTGACAGCTGAAGATATGAAATATACAGTTATAAGTCTTACAGAAAAGTGAATTGTATTTTTGATAGCTGCTCAGCATTTTCTGGAGATTGCACTTAAAGATGTTTTTTTTTTTTGCCAAGTTTTTCATTAAGATTTGATACAGTGTGAAACGTTTTACTCTCCTTCTTCTACAGGTAAACTATTTCACATTGACTTTGGTTATATTTTGGGCCGGGACCCTAAGCCTCTACCTCCCCCAATGAAGCTGAATAAGGAGATGGTGGAAGGTATGGGAGGCACGCAGAGTGAACAGTACCAGGAGTTCCGTAAGCAGTGCTATACAGCCTTTCTCCATCTGCGCAGGTAACAAGGCTATGCTAAAATTTATTAGAGCCACTATAAAGCGGGAGAGAAAAGGTTTAAATGAATTGGAGAAAGTATTTCTGTTGTAAATTCCAAACTTGTTTGAAGTCTGAATGTAGACGCAAGCATTTGTATGAAACAAAGAAATGTAAACATCACAGCACTGGTGTAATGTGGGACTTGAATGTAATTGCCCTTCAAGTTAAGGCCTCCAGTTTTGCTTATTTAATGTCCTACTAGCATTTTTCGTGACTCCTGTGGGATGTTAAATAAGATCTTGCTTTTTGCCCTTAAGCAACTTTTTCTCTGATTATTGATGATCAAGTAACTGTCCTTTTAACTCTAAGTCATTACTTGTTCGGTGCTTTATCTTCCTCCAGTTTAGATCAGTGCTGATCAAGTTCATTGGCTTGAAGATGGTACATACATAAGCTTAGTTGGTCTTGGGTCCTGTGGGACAAAAATTAGGTACTTGTAGTGACAACCAAGTATTGATTGTCAATATCAAGCAGTTTCTGTAGACATCCAGAGCTGTGACAGTTAAAACCTCTTTAGACCATTTATTTATGGACCAACAGACCACTCCTTTAAACTTAGAATCAGCTTAATTCTTTTTCAGTGACTGGATTACTTACCAAATTTCTGAGCCAAGTACCTCAGCTTTGTTCTATTTGAACAGAACACGGATAAATACTCAGTCTGTTCAGTGCCTTGATTTAGTACATACTCAATGGATATGAAATAATTTTATTTTAATATCAAGATTACATAATGTAAACCTCCAAATATGTGGAAAAAAATAGTACTGTGAAAAGTACACATAGTATGAAAAGTAGGCAGGCAATGATGTGAAATAAAAATGCTGCATGTTATTCTGCACTTGTTAAAAGGAGATAGAGTAAGGAGTTGGTTTATGAACTGACTTTATTAATGGGTTAAAAACAATTCAGCAGCATGAAAAAAGTGTCATGTTATTAGCAAACTGTTCATGACTTCAGAGAACAAGCAGACTATACTCAGTGTTCTAAATTTTGCTTAAATCTGTTTTGTAATACTCTATTTCTTATCTATGAAATACTTGAGTTGTTTTTATTGTTTAAACCTAGCTGTTTCAATGGAAAGGTCTGTTGTGTCAGTGAAGGATTATCCATTGCATTAATTTATGTAATGATTTGCTCCAAAGATCATCATTAAGTGTGGAGTATAGCAGTAATTTGGCTATAAAACTAAACTGTAAATCACGATGGTTTCATTTTTAATGTCTGGGATTGTAGTTGTAATTATAGTCTCTCCAATATTTGTTCAGTTTAATAGGAAAGTATTTTTAAATGGTTCTATATAAATATCTTTAAGGCTTTCAATAAAGATAGCATAGGATAATATTAGTATTACTATAACTATTACTTTAAATTGCTAGAACTAAAAATGATTAAGATCACTTGCTTAATGAAAAAAGAATAATTGGGGGTGGAATGGCTTAGCTCTAACAGTTTTGCACGTTGATGCAAACCTGTTCAGATACTTCTGGCTCTGTGGTATGGAATCATAACCTCTGATTACTGAGACAGAATGCAAATTGTCGTCTCCATCAATTTCTGTTTTATTCTTTCTTCTTTATTTCCCTGTGGTATGGACAGTTCTATACATCTTTCAAGTGCTGTGTCTCGGTGTTTCAGGATTCCTGGTAGAATGGGTGTTGGCATAGCAAAGACAAAACAGTTTAAAACTTCTAAGTGGAAAAATAGTTTTGTACATTGTTTTAAATTGGAAGCAGTTTGGCATATCATCATTGATGTGTGATGGGTTTTTTTGTTTGTTTGTTTGGTTGGTTTTTTTGAGAGGGGAGAGTGAGGGAGATGATTTCTGCTTTTTTGAACAATAATCAGCCATGTGTGTTTGTCAACGGTGCTGTAATGAAGAATCAGCCTCTGCAGTCTGAATGTGTTGCAGAGCAAATTGTGGCTGGCAGCAGAACTTGCATCCTCACTTGGGCTGTAGCAGCCTTTTATGCCTTCATTATACACATTGAGCCTCTTTAAAGATGTTCAAGTCCTGTTGCGTGTCAGCATTTCCCTTCTTTGGAGGATTCCCAGTTTACACATCCTCAGCAGGATCCAGCAGAGAAGAATCCAGCCACAGCATCTGAGAGGTTTTTTTTCTTTTCTTTCCAGGGTGATGTTCTACGTTGTATTGTTCCTTTCCAAATAAGGGTTTACCCTGTGTTAGTTATGTGAGAAGTTTGATATTCAGTTTGAGTTAGTGGGCGTAGGTAGGAAGTAACTAAGTACACAAGCTGTAGTTTGGGCTGAGATTTGCTCTGTATAGATGGGGATATCCAGCTGGCTGGACCAGAGTGGTTTTTCCCCAGTCTGTTCTCTGTGGTATAGTGGACAGAGGAAGCCATAGAGATCTGAATGAAAAACACTGTAGGCAACAAGTGGAGAGCTGTGATGGCCCTTGGGCAGTGCTGATTCTTTGGAAAGGTGGTAACTAGACAGTTCAGTGTCTAGATAGTCTTCTAAAAGCTTGAGGTAAGTGGTGAAGAGGGAAGAACAAAGTTAAAACTGGATGGGAGCAGGTCAGTTTTGTTTTGAGTCTGGACTGCCAGGAAGTACTTTGGAAGAATGAATGCCATAGTTTATTTTAGCTAACTGGGACATGATAGTGACTGGGGAGTATGTGTAGTCTTAAGAGGAGAATAAATGAGTCCTGCAGGAGTCCCAAGCAATACTGCAGAAAAAGCAATCGTATCTTAAATTTAGAAAATTTTGAGTTAGACCAGGTAGCTAGGGCTTTAGTTTGGGACCACACGTAACTGTATACTTTCCTGTCCTGTCCTTGTGTGGAAGTTTGTGGCTTCACATTTGATAGAGTATTGCCAACAGCCTAAATATTCAGTTGGTTTAGGACACCTAAAGGTGACGGTAAATACTGAAAAAAATGCATAAAGGAGTGCTTAGGATCAGGCATATATTTGATGAGTTATTAAGCACTTAAAAACAAAAGTTGCTGTTCTCAGAAAAGATGGCAGTGAGAATCTGAACTTTTGTCTGATGTGGGTTTCTTTCTTGCTATATATGAGGCCTCTTCTGTGTAGGAGTAGTTATTTTGTTAGATTTCTTAAATTTTTACTGAAAACTCTGTTTAAATCTTGTAACCTGTATCCTTAAATCTTGTAACATGTAGCAATGAGCCATATATGTGGAAAATGAAGAGTGGGAGAGAAGAAGAGGAAGAGAAAAGGAGAGTGAGAGAGGGAGGAAATAAGGGGGTAGGAGGAGGAGAGAGAGGGATTCCACCAATCCTAGTTCCAGCACTGGTCCAGCCAGCCTGGAGGTCCAGTTCCAGAGGGGTGCCATGCAGGGCTTCTGTTTGTGCCCTTTTCTAATCCCTTGCCCCTCCTGTGGGCAGGTACTTGGATTAATTAGGCTAATTGGGTGTCACGCACAGCTCATGCTTCTAGAACCCTCCATGCCCCGGTGCATGCACAGTTTGTACCCTCAGAGCTCTCTGGAAATGGGTCATTGGGGAACTACTCCCCCATCTCCACAGAGGTGACTGCAGTTGGACCTTTCCTCTCAGCACACACATTGTGATAAGGGCCTCTCCATTGTCTCTTCACGAGTTGCTCCAGCCAGGGCAGTCCAGCCTCAGAAGTGTGTGGTCCCATCTCTGTGGGACCCTCCCATCCTCTCCCCCCATCTCCCTGTTCTTACCTGCACGAGTCTGGTGCTTCCATAGAGACCCCATCTCCTTTACCAAAGTTTCCCATCGAATACTGGAGCCATTAACTGTGATTTTGGTTGAACTGTCACACTTGGTTTTAGCATTTCATGTGCAAGCCGTAAGTGTAGTCAACCTCCAGTGTAACTGAGTGCTCATTTATTTTGTAATTTAATTTGTACTGAACTTTGAGGGAATCAGTGCATTTACTTGAGAAGGATTTAGGGTTAGGTGCTTAATTGAAGCTCCTTAAACCTAGAAGAAGTGAGTGCCTACTTTGTTCTGGCTGAGGATTGTCACCCATTACAGAGGCCTTTGTAATGTAGATGTCAAAGTCAAGTGATAGAACTTTACTGACAAAGGTGTTTTTGTTTTACAGGTCAAATTCCTAACTCTGTTTCAGCAAAATGTCTATTATTCGGGTGAATTTGAGCTGTTAGTTGACCAGTTGTGAACATACTGATGTATTTGCCAAGGATGTTGCCTATAGGAAGGGTGACAGCTGTCTAAAATAGGAGACTTACCTCTCTGGTCGAGTCCCAGTTTTCAAATAAATGTTTTAAAAATCCATGAAACACAACAAGGATCCTAGTGGCAGCTAACAAATGTACATAATAAGCTTTTTTTCATCCTTAGACCACCAGCTAGTTGATTACTGAGTTAAATGTTGTGATGAGGTGCAGAGGAGAGACCTGCAGATAGTATAGTAAGCACCTCTTTCCTAATTTTTGTCTCTTCTCACTCAGTGCTCCCCCCCAAAATAAGGTATTCATGATTTCTTTTTTTTTTTTTTTTTTAAATGAGGCTCTTCAGATGATCTTATGCTTCCAGTATTTTTAGTTTAAGCACCAAGAATCAAAAGACTTCATCGCGTGGAACAAAACCAGCTCCTAACTGGCATCTAGCAATGATCCCTTGACCTTTGAAATCTCTTCTACAAACCTCTGTCACTTAAATAACCCCAGTATTGATCATAAGTTCTCCTCTGTGTCATTCAAGAGCAAAAAGGACTCTGACAGTCTGGATTCCTGGGTCAGTTCAAAGGGAGAACTACCAGTGGAAACTCACAATGACCAAGGAATAGACTTGAGAGAATGTAGCTCTAAGATTTAAACATGTTTAAAGTGAGATTTGCTTGTTTCAGGCAAGTTGAAAAAAATTTCATTAAAACTTGTGAAGTCTTTTCCTGGCACCAAAGCAACTTGACTGCCAGATTTTTTAGCTAGATCTGAAACCAAATGGTAGTGTAATGTAACTTTCTTTTAATCTGTGATGAAAGTAGTTTTCCTGATTTCAGCCACTTGCCCCTGGAAGGGTGAAGCAGAACAGGTGAAACAGATTAGACACTGAAGATTTCTGCCTAAACAGTTTATTTTAAATGTTTGTGTTTATAAAGAGTTAAAATTTACACTGGAATGTGTTAGGTAGTGCTAGTTCCAGATAATAATAAAGGGTCAAGATTTTTATGTAATTATGCTTTTCTATAGAGATTATTTTGTTGAGCAGTATTTACTTTGTAAAATATGGCTATGAAGCAGTCCTTTTGTGTAGTTAAAATACTTTGTACTCCTTGCAATTGTCAGCTTATATATATATATATATTCAGCAGCTTGCTAATAAACAAGTTTTGCTGCTAAGAATTCATTTTCCTATCATCTGTGAAGCTCCTAATGCTCTTGGCAAAGCAATATTTCAGATTTTGAAGTCAGTTACATGTTTTGTTTCTGAAAGGGGACTAGACCTCTTTATGGAGGAAAGGAAGGTTCAGTTTATGTTGAACAGCTTGAAAATTATCCTTTCAAAAAGTGACTTACAACTAATTTCCTGCAAGGGCAAAATGATGTTCTTTGAAAGATTTGCAAGTATTTCCAACACCACGTTAAAAGTGAAAACTATACTCTGTCTTGTCTTTTTTAATGATTGTAAGTGACATTTATACTTCATAAGTGTAGTATGCCTGCCACTGTTATTGCAGCTTAACTGAACAACTGCAGACTTGAGTCTGCTTAAATCACTTATATTCAACTTGTAATGGCAAGAGCCCTTGCATCAACTTGAAAAATCATTTCTTGTAACTGTGAAGACCTCAGCTGTTTGGATGCTAGTTTATGTAATACTGCTGTATCACTGATATAATTTTTAATAAAAAATAAACCTATTGGAACAATATTCTAGCATGTATTTGTCCTAATAGTGGTGAAAAATGGCATTGAATCTTACAATATATGAAATCATAGTTTATACTGATGTGTCTCTTAATAAATGTTCTGACAATTTTTAGAAAATTAAAACAAGATCACTCTCTTCTGTTTTGGCAATTTGAGACAGTTTGAGGGTTAAACTTTCACTGTTAATATCTGGTATCTTATGTGTTCAACTAAACTAAGATGATGACTTGTTCTTAAATGAAGTTGTTTACAAAATGCCTTTTGTACAGTTTACAAAATGTTTTACCTAATTTGCTCTTCTGTTTAGGTATTCCAACTTGATCTTGAACTTATTTTCCCTCATGGTGGATGCCAACATTCCAGATATTGCTCTTGAACCTGACAAGACTGTAAAGAAGGTAACTAGAAAGCTTTCCTTGTCTTTCCATAACCCAAGTCACCATGTGATGAAACTGTCAGTCACTTGTGGTGATTAATTTGTAACTGACTTGAAAATACTTGCTCCTGTTTTACAAGTTTTGAGCAATTTGTAAAATGAATGGAGTTAAAGATAGGCGAATATACTTTTGAGATCACGTAGCACATGTGCCAGTAAATACCTAATTGCTTTTTATCATCCATGCAGTAGTTCAGTCTGCTCTAGCAGTCTGTTCCAAGTGCTATTTTAGCATTCTGCTAAGAACAGTAATCCCACTTTATGAAACTTTTGATGAGTGAAGCAATCGGCACTGACTAGATTGTGAAAGATCGTTCAGTCTAGTCTAGGATCCTGTGAGTTATGGATGGTTTTATAAAACCAGTCTATTGGTAGATAAACCCAGCCTGTTGAAGATTTAAAACCAGGAGACTGGTATACCTTCATCGCCAATAAATTTTTGTTTATTGTGAAAGCAGACTCATGTCCCATAATTCTAACTTTGTCCCTTTGCGCCAGCCTGAATCATTCTCCATTCGATGTTTCAGCAGCAGTTGACATTAAAAATACTAGAAGATTGTTCATCTAGATTTCATTACACTTATACTTTAAGCAAATGTTGGCTTTTTTATAACCTGCTTTACAGTGAAGGTCTATCTGTTTTAATTCCACAAAAGATTTTGTGTAGCCTGTATATCCAAATGAAATTGGTTCAGTGTAATTTTTATTTGAGCAGTGGATTTTCTCTAAAATAGACTGTTCTTCAGTGTTTTCAATAAGCTATAAAAGCAAATTCAGAATCTTTAAATTAGTGTTTCATGCTTTAATACAATTCCCTTAAGGAAAACTAAACTGTGACTCCAATTACGTTTTCCCTTTTGCCTGCAAGAATGCAAGATTTCTGTTCAGAGCTTCTTGGTTTTAATTTATACAAACAGTTCATGTAGCTGTTTAGTTTCATTACCAGGAAGGCCACCCTAAGCAGAGGTGCTGAATTTTGTGATAAAGATGACAGCCCTTCCTCCACGCGGTTGTGTTCCTGAGAAACTGACAGCTAATTCTTCTTCCATATCAGTATTTGAACCTTGCCTCTGTCCCTAAATGCCCTACAGAGATTGAGCAGGTTACTCACATAGAACATAGGAGATAGTCTTCAAGTAGAAAACTGTAACGGTTCAATACCTACCAAGTTCTGGGAGTAGCTACATTTTCGTGGAGACCTTCTTTTGAAGGAAGACACTTATGTAACAGGATGCTTGTAACATCTCTGTGAATTTCATCTTTGCAAAGAAGACATGTTTGGTTCAGGCTACCTGTTGGAAACATGGAGGAAAGTACTTTTACTTCCATGATGCAGTATGGCAGGGAAAACCTTTTGAATTGCAAAATCTACAAATAGGTGCACAATGAATCCTACAGGTAGTGCAGGGGCTAATTTTGGAGAGTTTGTCATTGACTGAAATAGTTATCAAGAGATCAAACTGATGATTTCATTGAATTCCAGAAATGATGGTTCTTTTGTGTTTGCAGCAGCAAGTTTGAGACTTGCTTCATATTTTAATCTTACTCACCGCTGTCCAGAGTTCACTGTCAGTTTACATGATAGTGTTCATTATTGCCTTGAATGCTATCTTGTGAGCTCTGAAAATTTTTTTTATCAAATGGAGTCTCCCAGTGTTCGCTTCCAATTAACATGAAATATCCTTGTTTCTAATTACTATCTTGGCATTGTGTTTTATATTGGTAAACTCTATAGAAGTGCTGTCCAAGGGTATATTGCTGTCTGTAATTAATAGGTTGTCAGATTCCATAAAATTTTTGTAAAGGATTGTTTTATTATAGCAACATTTGAGTATTTCAGAGACTTCTAAAACTCTTTTACTCTGTATAAATTTCCCATGTAATTTTCTTGAAATAACAAATCAACATACAGAATTGAAAGCTAAGAAGTTTTTTCAACAGCTGCTGAGTATGTTGCAGTTCACTGATGCACAGTAGTTAAAAATAAAGATTATGTAGAGCATGATTGTATTGCATCCAATTGGAGATCGTGGAAGGAAGCACAATCTAAAAGGAAGTTAGTTCTAAGAGCTGTGAGTTAGATCAATGTGGTTATTTCTAAGTTTCCTTACAAAGTATAATAATGCCTTCTTTGCATGAAGAGAACATAAGCTTATTTATTATATGACAGATCACTGTTAGATCAAATACAGCTATTAGTTATTGGGATACTGATCTCTGACAGTGCTGCAGCTTGGTGAACCGTGACTTTTACCCTCATACTAGGTTCAAGTCTGTATGTTCACAGCATCTTTAAAATGTGAAAAGATCTAGAACTGAACCAGTAAGGCAGGTATTTCTGATAAGGAATGTAAATCCCTTTGACATTTTCAGATGCTATGAAAGGGAAAGATTATACCTTCCCTAGTTCTCAAAGTTCATTTAAAGTGTGCTTGTTCTGTTCAAAAACAAAACAAAACCCACACAGTAAGGTATTAGCAAAAACATAACCAAATTGTTTAGCTTGTTCATAAATGTTTTCTTTGTCATTCACAGTTTTTTCAGCCCTTCCCCAAGTATTGGTATTTTATATAAACTCCAATTTTTTTTGACAGCTTAGTTGTTTTTAACTTCTGTTAACTGTTCAGGTTTGGTCCTTTTAGTTCAAAAATTATCCTTTGAATATACTCCTGGAACTTGTGCAAAAATAATACATCACAATGGGATCCTTAGAGAGTAAGCAGAGAAGACCCTTCCATAAAGCAGTTGTTGACATGATCTACTGTGGATGCATATGACTATGTTCAAAGCTCCTATGACAGTAATTATTTACTTTAGTTCTCAATTTTTGGTTTTACTTTTTTGCTTTAAAACAACAGTTAGCAAATCGGCTGTAAATGGACTAGGATCGGAATCATCTTAACCCGTTGTAGAATGGTGAATAGGTCATTGTTGGGTTTTTTTAAATAATGCATTAGAAAACTTCTTTTGGCTATTAAATACCCATTAGCCTTTCTCAGAACAGTTAGGAGCTTTGTTAGTACTAATAAAAAAAAGGAGCAAGTTGTCTTGCATCTCTTGGGCTGAATGGTAAGTTTTTTCAGTCATTTAACAAGATAATACTGTACCTTGCTGTAGGAAAATTGAATAAATGCTTTCATCATCTCAATTGATTTTTATTTTTTTCTTAACACTTTAAACAAAAAATCCATTTATATTTCAACAGACTCAAATTAGCTAAAGATCCATTTTGGACAGACCTGCAAAATTAAATTACTTCTGATGTGTGAGTCAAGTCAATAGCCATTTCAACCATGGTATCACTTTCACAGAAGACAAAGGTGAAGATTTACAAATGCTTCTGTGTCTGAGAAGGTATCCTGCTTAATAGCGTAGGTGGAAGTTTATAGCCAGCATTTTCCTTATTGGTGCTGTAGTAATACTCATTCTCTGTTTTGTAGTGCCCTCACTTCTGCTTTAGGGGGCTGGTGGGTCAGTGAGGCTCTGGTCTCACAGATAAGTGAAGTCCAGTCACTGAGGTAACTAAATAGGTTACCTTTATCTGAATTTGGTGATAAATCAGAGTAATCTATTATTAAACTACAACTAAAACTATAGGGAAAAAAAAACCCTGTTTTTAAACAAATGCTTACTGAAGGGAGTTTCTTTGGTGAACAGTTCATTTGACACAGATCTTTGAAACTGGAATTTTTCAGTAGGTGCATCTATACTGCTGTTACCAAGTAGGCATGAATTATTCTGAAGATTATTTCGAAAGAAAGATTTTTCTTTAAGGAACCAAAACTGTGACCATTAAAGTGAAAGCATTCTAGTTCTAGTCTAATCTTTAACTTCACAAAATGACATCATGCATCATCACTTCTGATGGGCAGGAGGGTGCTCTATGTTACAGGACATACCAGCTGGCAGGTGAAAAATACAGCAAGATGTAAAAACATGCTAGTGAGTAAAGCCACCTTTGGAAGTATTTTTGGTGTTCCCCTTTTGTAAACTCTCAGAAAGTAATCTGCTGAGTTTCAGGATGAAGGTTTAATTTTTGTAATCATACATGTATTCTAAATAAAATTAAAATTTGCATATACGATATGATAATGATGGCTAGAATAGAATAAATTGGTATAGAATAAAGAATACTGCTGTCATTTTGTATGGTTTGATTTCTTGTGCTTTCTTTTGTCACTTCCTGTGAGCTATATGTGTATTATAAAAGGATGCTTGCTAGTTAGATTAGTTAGAAAAGATGGGTGGAATTCATCAATCCTTGGACATTCTTATGTTCAGACAAATAAGGAGAAAAAGATCATGAAAGTATCTAAAGTATGTGGAATATGTCCTCTTCAATGAGGCAGAGGCATTGGATGATTTGAGTTGTGATTTTTTTTTTTTTTTTTTTTTTTTTTAAGAATTTCAGGCTGGTATGTTAAATGAGACTTTTTAGAAAAACCTGAGTGCAGAAAGCACTCTTAAAGAATATTACTACTAACCTGAGGAATGAAAGGGAAGGCAGGATCTTTATAGTTGGAAAGTGGTTTTGACAAAATATCATCTCCCTTCCAGTAAAAATGTGACATCCCAGGGAGTTAACTGGCAGAATATAATTGTATAATCAAGTTTAAAATGTAACTGAAAGCATATTGTCCAGGTGTCATTTCTGTCAAATAGTTGTGAAATGTCATGAGACAAATATGTATCAGGTGAAGGCAAAATTGGAACAGCAGCTTGTATCACATACAACTTTCTGTGAAATAAGTATAGATTACACCTGTTTGACGTAGTTCATGGGACAGGATGGTATAAGCAGAGCTAGGTGGTCTGTTCCTGTCATCTGTGAAGGTAGTTTCACATTCTTCTCGTTTAAAAGAGAGCAAGCTGTACACAAACCAATTCTACTTATTGGAGAAGGACAATAATGCAGCTATTTCCCCCATGTTAGTGTGAAAAGAACCGGAAACTCCCAGTGAC